TTTGGTCTCTCTCCATTTATGACTGGGGCTAATATCATTACATCTATAAATATCACTTGTATTATTTTCAACAACCAGTTTGACAGAGCTTAAATATGACGGACAACTGTTCCTTGTCTCTCTCTCTTCCCTCTTTTCCACCCACGTCTCGTTTCTCCTCCATTTTTCTCTCCATCCCAACCGGTTGAAGAAGATGTTTGCCCATATTGAGATTGGTAATTCAATCCAATTCAATTTTATTTCTATAGCACCAAATCATAACATACATTATCTCAAAGCACTTTACATTTAAGGTTAATGTAATGTTTCTTGCAGACAAGAGGGACTTTTTCCTCTTCACAGTTCTCAGTGTTAGCTGGTGGTTTCTCTCTAATTTTAAGGGACTCGACCCTTTTGTGTAAAGTGCCTTGAGAAATGTATGTTGTGATTTGGAGCTCACATTAAATTGGATTAAGGTTGATTTGAAAACCACAACCCAGTGGTTTCCATCATGTGAGTGCAGTCAGAAGGATGAAGATGTTTGTGAGATGGTTCTCACAAACATCTTCATCTGACTTCACCACTGACACAAATCCAATCTCAGGCAGCATGTGGATCACATCACGACAGTTTAAAAAACTCTCTGGGGAGTTTGGTTCACCTGCACTGATGGTCACTGTCAGCATCCTGCTGCGTCCCCGGAGCGACCCTCCTCTTCTTTATGAATCTTCTTGTGAGAGAAGCAGAGGACCTGGTCCCAGATGTGAAACACTGTTCTTTCATCAAGTCCAGCTTTGACATGAGACTGATGCTGCAGACCCACACACACGCACACGCACAGACACACTCAGTGTTTCTGCAGCCCCGCAATCAACACACGGCAACAAGTCAGCAGCAGCAGCTTCACAACTTCCGCTTAAAACCCTTCACAATAAAGGTTTCAAAGGCTCTTATAATCCACTTTCCACCTGACTCTCACTTGTTGGCACAAAAATAAAATCAATTTTAAAACCATTCATCGAGCATTTAAAGGTTCAGTGTGTGATTGTTGAAAATTGCATGTTGGACACCCCTCACCTCACCCTCTCCTAAACATGAAAAATAACCTGTGGTAACCTTCAGTTGTCATAAAAACTCAAAAGGTGTTTAGTTTGTCCAGTCTGGACTAATGTAAAAAACATGGCGGCCTCTGTAGAGAGGACCCCCTCAATGTAAATATAAAGTATTTCAATATAAAGGGCCTTTTCTGGGGTAAAGAAAACTACAATTCATACAATTTAGATGAAACACACTAGTGAAAACACACAACTTATATACACCTTTCACTAAGGAAATATTGCTTGTAGATGAAGTGCAGTGGCACAGGATGATTGCACAAAGATATACTGGATTTTTGCTTATGTGTAAAGAAGATATTGAAATAAACATTTCCATATATGTGCATATTTAGACAGTTATAATGACAATAATAAAATGCTATATATACATATGGATACATTTACACATACACATACACACCCAAAAGTGTACAAATGGTATGCAAGCATACATGTATGTATATATATATATATATATATATATGTATGTGTGTGTGTTGTGTGTATGTGTGAATGAATATATGGGCACATTTTATTGTTATTGTAAATATACAATATGATTAATGCTATGAAAATGATCTATATGGAAATAAAGTTACGGTCTAAGTTGCGAGCTCTTTTCAGGGTTTTTAAGTGCATTTCAGTCTCCTGCATCAAATAGATTTAAAGTGAAAGGTATCTTCTGACCAGATCTCATGGGCGTCCCTTACAACTGTGCAAATTCCATGTTTCAATAAAAAAAAAGATAAACTTGGCTTTAATTTTGATGGTTGTTGCCGGAAGTCCTGTATGACACACACACACACACACACACACACACACACACACACACACACACACACACACACACACACACACACACACACACACACACACACACA